GCATGTATCGTAACTTGCACTGACCTATTCATCCATCACCCCTTTGGTCACCAACTTACGTTGGTCCTTGGGTCTGCAACACCTTGATGTTAAAATTTGTGTGCTCATCTTTTAAATGCCCCCTTCACTTTCTATGCTAAGCTCCTTCGGCTCTATAATCTCTGAGAAATCTGTGCACTTCCAGTTCAAGCCTGTTGTCAATTCCAATTTCCTTTGCCCCACCATCATTGGATGTGCCCTTAAATGCCTGGCCTCTAATCTCTGGAATTCACTCCCTAAATTTCTGCACTTCTCTTTTCGAAGCGTCTCAAAGCTTACCTCTTGACCACTTGTCTTAATATCTGCATGTGTAGCATGGCAGGCTAATTTGTCTGATAACATTCCTAACTCCTTAGGACATTCAATTCTCAGAAGGTGCTATGTAGATGCAAATTGAAAAAAAAAAGGGCCCATCTTATAAAGCGTATGTTATTAGCTCAATGTTGTCTAAGGTGTAAATCAATTTTGTGACTCTTTTCTGAACCGTTTTCCAAGAGCCTGTATCAATCACCATATGAGGAGAATAGGTCGATTTAACGATGTATGTCAATTATAATCCGTTGATCACAGGATTGTGGAATTCTGAAGCAGATCACATGGCTCATTCAATAATTGCATTGTTCAGTGAACCAGACAAAGCCAAAAGGCCAGACTCTAATTCCAGAGTTACAATTTCATCAGCAAAGACCCATCGCACCCTGGTAATGTTCTCATACAACCTCTTCTGTCAGGCAGAAGATACAGAAACCTGATCTCTCTCCAGCAGGTTCAGAAACAGCTTCTTCCCGGCCATTATTAGACTGATGAATGGACTCTCTAGCCTCAAATAATGCAGATCTTGCTAACGTTGATCTCGCCTAGCGCACACCCTGTGCAATGTAACCTGTATGCCTCTATCTTAAGTCTTTTTGATCTGTATGTCCTTGCTTACTCTGATCTGCCTGTGCTGCTTGTAAACAAAAGCTTTTCACTGTACTTCAGTACACATGACAATAAATCAATCAGTCAATGAAAATGTTTTACTCACCATGACAAAAATGGACAGCCTCTGGAACCATATCCCCACAGGTCAGAAGTTGAATCCTACGCTTGCAATTTGGCTCAGGTGTAACATCCTGCTGTCTTATCCTAGAAATGCTGAAGGTACAGTTGAAGAGAAGTGATCGAAGAATGATTTAAAAGGGAGAAGTGTCAAGGAGTGCAGAGCAGGTCTGATGGCATTTGAGGAGAGGGAAGCAAGAGTTCACCTTTCAGGTCTTTGACCTTTTATATCACTTGAGTACAGACAAAAAGGTTTGGAGCAACTGCGGGTAGGGGCAGACAGTGTTGCTGGGAACGTTTATGATAAGGTGGAAGGCATGAGTGATTCAATGGTGAAAGTTCACTTTAGTGCAAAGACAAAAATGGGACATATAAAGGAACAAAAGATATGTCTGGAGGAGATGAGCATTTCAAGTTAGCTACTATCTAAAGACAAAATGGAGTAATTAAGGAAGAAATAAGAGGGGTAAAAAAACAGCAGAGGTAACACAAAAGAAAATGGCTTAGATCTATATTTGTTGAACTCTGTGTTGAGTCCAGAAAGCTGGCCAATTGAATAAAAGAGAGCTGTACCTTAAATTTCATTAGAATGGATGAACTTCCATCATTGATGCTGCAAAATGTAAAAAAAGTAGGGCGAAAGATTTTAAAAGCCAGTAGATTGTTTCAATAAACAACACTGAGGTGACGTGCCGTTCCACTGTTTCTGAATGCAATGTGCAGAACTAATGGCATCTCAGCCCATAGCATGTGAGGAAATAACGCTGTTAAAAATTGTAGATGCTTGATTAGTTTCAATTGTCCTCTTAAAGAAGAAAAGGAAAATGACTGAGGCTAAGTTCTGAGCTCCCTGCAGGCTGTACTACTCACAAGAAGCACGTGGCCCACAATTTCCAGCCAGAATGTGAATGGTAGAAAATCATGGGTTGTCGAGGAATGTAACATACTGCTCTCATTATTAATACAGCACGTGGAGTTGCAAATAAAAAGTGGGATGTGACTTGAGATTACTGTATCAAATCTAGTGAAGTTTTTTTTTAATATCCAAAATACAAGGCACCTTTTTTGCAGAACTGTCCCATTCCAGCTTAACTTAAAGTTCTGCCCACCTCAGGACAAGACTCGAGATTACATTCGTAATCATTTGTTCCAGATGCTAGCTTTTGTCGAAAATCAATTCTCTGGTCTTTCTGAGCCAATTTTATAACGGGATGAATTTTAGAAGTTTACAGACTGGTTTCCCATCAGTCCTAATGCCAAACAACTGTTTCATTTAGAGAACTTCTTCATTCTGGGCTTTCATTCCCGGTAGACTGTCATCACAGTTGAAAGTTTCTTGTTCTGATGTTCTTTTTGGCCTAATGATTTTATTTGTGCTGCATTTAATCATATCCAGAGCTATTCCTTTGCTTGTCATGAGAAGTTTCCATTGTCTGCTTATGTGGTTTTTTGTTCAGCAGTTTTGGTTGCATGGTGAAATGCATTATTCTGCATTGATCAGAATTGGAAACTCACATCAATAACAAACCAGAGTGGAGTGGTGAGGGTCCTGAAAGTGTTTGCGAAAACATAATTGAGCGGAAAGTGATTGCACACAAAAGTTTCAAATAACAAAGCAAAGACCATAATATTTTCTTTTGTTTTCTAATTTCGAGGTGAGCTGATAAGTTGGACCATTGAGACTAAAAGCCAGAAATTTTTTGAGTCATTTGTTTTATAGATGTTGATTGAAAGCCCAAACATTGACCAAAACAATAAGCAGACTCTGCTGCTCTTCAAACCATTCTGTTGAATGGGCACAGAGGTCTTGGTTTAACATGTGATCACAGCTGATGGTTTTCCTGAACAAGTCCGATCCCACAGTGGAATCTGGCATGATGCAGCCTATATTTATTTAATTTTACTTAAAGTTAGTAGCGGTCAGTTACTGCAACAAAATCACACAAGGTGGCAATGCTTCTTTAAGAACAGAACAGAATTGAAGTTTATTACACTAAATGGTGATAATTACATAATTGTCATGTGACAATAAAACCTAAATCTAAAATCTAAAAATGCAAAAAAAACAAATTATGTAGATTCAAAACATAGTCAGAAAGAAATCTTCAAACAACTAGCAAAACACGTTTTCAAACTTCAGCACCATCACTTTACAGCAATTCAAATACATAGAAATTACCCCTTCGTATCCCAATGTTTAATCTCTGGATTTTCTAAGATAAAAGCAATCCTTGAATATTCCTTAAATATTCAATCCTTGAATAATAGAAAACATTTTTACTGCGATGATTAAAAATGTTTTCTATTAACGCCAGGGGTCCCTGCTCTGTGACACATACTGGATTAGGTCAATGTTCCTGAAGAACTGTCTGGCCCAGTTATTATATTTTTTAAAATATCCTTCAGAAAAGAAACCAATCCCAAATTCCACTATTTTAAAATCCAAACACTAATAATGGTAATATATATAAAAATCGGATAGCTTTCATACTCATAACTGCATTTCTTTTGCTATACAAGTTCAATTATGTTCATTCACACATGAAGCTATTGAGCATCTTATTCATATTATTAGGATATGTTAATTTGCTGATGTTAAAAGATCTCTGAAAGCTGATCTTTTAGTCTCGGTGTATGGAAGTAAACTTGTGGAAATTTTTCAGCCAATACACCAAACCAAATCCCCAAGTCTCTCTATTATGCTTCCTAGAAGGAGTGAAACCAATGTGTCACATACACACTAGTTTTCATTCATCAGTTTCGGCATTAAGCGAGCCTCCATTTATATTGCAACCTGTATGATATAAATCATTCAGACTTGATGATTGGATACAAAGGACTGGGATTACCTTTCTATCAGATGGTATCTACATTTCCACACAGGTTTGATTGATATGAGTTACTATTTGTATCCATTAGACACTGGATCAATATACCATATTTCATTGTTCTTTGTCTCTCATGATATATGACTCATTGAAAAGTTGGTTTTTAAATTTAGACTTTTTAAGCAGGACATGGCACTGAAGAATGAATGCACTTGAGCTTTGTACTTGAGTGATGTCCAAAACATTGTTGAGAGAGATTAAGGTGTTGGACGGCCCGCTGTTGGTTTGCTTTAAAGCAAAGTGTTGGGAGCAACAGTTATGCACTGCAGAATTGGGAAGAGGTAACTGCCAGAACTTGTGAAAAATCAACCTCCCATAGTGCAGAATTTTCCCTTTATAAGAGGTAGCAGCGAGGTCAAATAACTGGGCAGGTTGGAATTGGTAAGATACCCACAAGTGGTCTGGTAATGGCGGCTTAAGATGCCATGAGCCCAACCTTTGCAGGTAAGAAAAGTGAATGCGGTGCCACCTGGCAAACCAGGTCAACCTCCCTGCTGGATTGGAGAGGAGGCCACTATTGGACCTAATCTGGAGGCAGTTGAGGTCACTGTTGGAGGTGCAAGGAGTTGCCTGCAGAAAGCCGCCTGCTCACCATACTATGCCCCTGTCCAGTCCCACCCATGGCACGTGCCAGTTCTGCTACTGCCCTGCCCACCCACCCACCCCTGCAGGGATGAAGCGGAAGGGTTTTTTGTTCGCTGTCTGGTTTGTTTGTGCACACCTAAGTGGATACATAGGCCAGTATTTCATTTATGTACAGACATGATGCTGACCTGTTAGTTTATGAGAAACAAGATTACAAATTTAAGACAAAAACTGGTTAGATAATGGGAAAACATGGCAACTGCCTGGTAGGTAAAAGTAATAAAAAGCTTCAAAGTAAAGCAATATCCCAAGAAAGGTCAGGGAGAAATGGATCGCAAAGGTTTGAGCAATTGCAATTTTAGATCTTTTACATTAATGGCTTGATTGAACTGTAAAGACATTTTAGTGTCACAGCTGTGCATAACAGTTTCACTCTCTCCCTGACAGATTGAGCAGATGCGAAATGAACTTTTTCAGGAAAGAGCGACAAGACAAGATCTGGAGTGTGACAAGATTTCCTTAGAGAGACAGGTACTTCAGTTACATTAATTTAGTTGGACTTTTTGAATTATATGCTGGAAGTTCAGTAGTACATCAACTAATTAAAGAAAGAAGCCCCTGAAAATGGCACACTCTATCAGATCTCGAGTTATGCAAAGACAAGTTCGTTCTGAAATTTAGGAATTTTGTTTTTACGTCAATAATTGAAAAAGATTGAACCACTGAAAATGGATAATGGTCATATGTCCAGTTAGAAGCATTTCCATCATCAAATCTATATTCTTATTTCAACTCCTCTTGCTGGAACTTTAACATGTTGTAGGTTTCACAGGATAACAGTCCCAAATGCCATCCATTACTGATTTCTTTTTCTCCACTCACTGGCCCTTTTCTGTGCCCGTTGTAGTGTTGTGATTGTCATTGCAGTTGGGATTGACCAATCAAGCACAGAGAGAGAATGGAAACTGGGACTTTCCTGTCAGACTCAGTGCCACGCACTGCAACACATTTACCCATTGAGACGATGAGCAACAGCTGTTACATTGTTCAGGCAGTGAAACGGGAATCTGTTTATATGATGGGGAGCAGTGGTACGGCGATGAGGGTATGACTGAAGATGAGAGAGAAATAACTGTTGTTTAATGATCTAAGTTACTTATTTAGTAAAATATTGATCACGGAGCATTGGCAGTTACAAACTTGTAGGCAGCAAGTGACACTCATCATTTTGCAGCAATAAAGTCGAGTACCCGGGATTCCTTTTATGCTTTCCAAACAATAGGAGTGGAATGGATGGGAACGAGGGGATGCTGGAGAAAAGGGTGTTGCGTCCTTGTGCCCCTTCATCCTTCTTATGCCCTCGTACTGCGTTCACGTTGATTTTTTTACTAGGAACTGGTTAGATCCACTTTGTAATCAAAAGGCATAACTTTTATTGCTGGATTAGCTTTATTCGTTTGCCACAAATCACGCGCTGTTTCATGAGAAGTTTAGTGTTTTAAAAAGAAATTACGCTTCCTGTATTGAGGCATATTTCTGTAAATGGTATTTTACCTCGTTAAAGTATTAAAAGAAGTGTACACCTATACTTGGTGATGACCTCGCAATTCGGAATACAACCTGTTGATTGTATACCTAGCATCAAAACTCATTTTATTAAAAACATGATGAAATTGTCCAAAACAGAAATGAGTGTATTGCTTCTATCCATGAGTGGGTGCTACTGTATATTGTTATTGTACATATCTACAAATCTCACTGTATACAGGCATTGTGCAAAATTTTATCATCATTAAAATTAAAAGGAATTGTTACAGAGTCCTGATAATTAGTTAAATTACTGGCTAAGGATGTCCAGATCTTATACCTCAAAAACTGTTGCAATGCAAACTATTAATTTTGTTTCTGTGAAATATCCAACCTCTACCAAATTTGAAAATGCAGAATTGCTATCTTAAACATTCACACCCTCCACCTTGATGACTGTTAGGTCGAGTGTTTGCTCTCTGCAGCAACTTGCCAAGGCTTCTTTGAAAGCACCTCAAAATATCCAATCTCAATCCACTAGAAAGACGGGGATAAAAGTGCATGCAATAGCTATCAATTACAAGTTCCTCTGTAATTTGTACACCATGCTGACTTGGAAATACATTGTCATTCCTTTATGGATCAAAAATCTGGACATTCCTTTCTAGCAGCGCAGTCGGTGTATCTGCACCATACGAACTGCAGTGGTTCAAGAAGTTGGCTCACCACCACTTTTTGGCAACTGGGGATGGACAATAACTGCTGGTCTTGCCACCAGCATCCACATCCCAGGTGTCCAAATCTTAGTGGGAATATCACATCTTAGAAAGGTAAATTGTACAGGCAGCTCAAAAAGTAGTGAATGCACCAAACCTTTTGTGATCTCTAATAGAATTCAGATTGCATTAAGTAAATCAAATGAAATGTTAAACATTAAAATAATGTCCTTTCAAGTTTTCAAAATCAAGTTTCAAGTAAGTAATTGATGAATGGTTAAGTATTGTGTATACAGTTTCTGAAATAAGTAATGCGCATCAGGTTTGATAAAAGTAACATGATATTTAATCACAGCACAAAGATCTAAAAAGCAGAATTGCATATTTGGAAGGATCTCAGAAACAGACTAAGGAAGGAATTGTTACCCAGCTGGAGGCAAGAATCCAGGAACTGGAAGATCGCCTTGAAGCTGAAGAAAGGTGAGATTTAATTTTTCTATAAAAGTAAATTAAGTCCAACATTGTAGACAGCATCTTCCAAAACCACATTATTAAACAATTATTTCAATAAAAATATGTATGTTCAAAAATGTTCCCATGAGACTGGACTGCTTAACATAATGGAGTTTAACAAACCATGATGTCCATAAAACAAGGCTAGCCAAAAGTTAATGAGCAATAGATGGAGAATACAGCAATTAATTCAAGTGCATCATTTAAATGTGAAGCTGGCAAATCCAGAGACTATTTTCAGTTTTCACATTGTAAAGTGTTAAATCAAGTACTAATATTATAGAAATAACGTTTTTTTATTTGAAAAAATGTTTATAATTGCTGTAATATTAGCAAAGCAATTAGAAACAACCTTTGGAGTATAATTTTAATTGAAGATAACATAATTCTTCTGTATGGATTTTGTATTAATAATATAATGAGATGCTGATTTAAATAACATTATCCCGGATCAAATGCGGGATTTTTAGATCTAGTGTAAAGCTCCCATAAAGTGAAATACTCGGACAACTGAATGTAACATCAATCAAATAATATGCTCCAGTTTCATGTGCACAAGAGGACCTTTATTTTTCTGCTCTGTAGCCTGATTCTGACTGTTAAAGTACGAGTAATTTTGTCCTGTGAATCCATAGCTACAAAGAATTCAAAAAAGATTTTCATTCAATTAGCTAGTACTGAATTGAAACTCAGGGCTCCGAGAAAGATTCAGGGCCGAATGTACTACATCAATTGGCCACAAGTACCTGACAAGTGCCAAATAATGACCAACTGCACCAAAAGTAAATCTAAACATCATCCTTGACATTTCAAACATCACAAAATCCCCACTATCAACATGCTGGGGTTACTATTGACCAGAAACTGAACTAGCTGCTATGGCTACATGAACAGGTCAGAGGCTAGGAATCCTGCAATGAGTAACTCACCTCCTGACTCTTCAAACCTGTCCACCATCTACAAAACATTGATAGCTATGTGCATGCTCAGCAGTTAGCTATTATTCCTTACCATCGCATAAAGATAAGGGACTAAAATGCTTCTCGATGTATCAAAGTCTGTATCTAAAAGCAAGCCTTTGGTCACCTGTCCTAATACCTTTATATGTCTCCATGTAAGATTTTGACTGTCATGTCTCATTGGGGTAATGGCTGGAAATGCATTCCACTATTCCTGGAATCATCACAAAATATAAAGATTTTATCAAAATATGCAAAATTTTCTAATTTACCAGTTTTCTTAGACCCAGGTCAACAGAAAGCACAGACTTTCTGTATGTAACAATAATTATTTAATACATACAAATAGATTCCAGCCTCAGGTAAACAACTATGAGCTGTCAACATACTAGTTTTAACTCTACTAGTTAAAACTCTAACCCCTTATAAAACTCTCCTGAAACATGTACGCACACACAGTCAGACATAGCCAAATAAACACTGGTGTGATTGTGGAAGGGTAAAACAAACCTGGGGAAACAGTTCACTGGCTACTATCCCCAGGATTCACTAAGTTGATCCTTTTGCTTGCCAAGACTTGCTGTTTTTCAGTCTCTCCTCCAGATACTTACTGCTTCCTTGCAGGAGGCACAAAGTGACTAGTTCACAAATTATAAAGTCTCTGACTTACTGTTTAAGAGCAATGGTTTGCACAACTGGGGAGGGAAAATAACCTGGCATTCTTCAGGCTTTAGGTATTTTGGACTGCAGAAAGAGACACCATCTGTATTTCTAGAAGTCCAAAGGATTCTGTTAATACTCACAAGCTGTTCAGCTACCCATTCATATAGTTGTTGACAGGCTGATAGCTTTTGTCATCGACAATGGTAACCACTCCACAAACAGTGCATCTACCTGTTGCCAGCTGAATCACACATTATATACATCCCTGGTGCTAGCTCATCTACAAACAGTCTCCCTCACTGGTTGAAGAAAGAACAGCATATGGTGTTGTTGAAGAAGACTTGGTGAGTTGATGCAGTGCATCTTATATATGGTGCGCCCTGCAGCCGTTGTACGTTTGTGGTGCAGGAAGTGAACATTTAAGTTGGTGAATGCAGTGTTGATCAAGCTGCTTTGTCACTGCCATTTGCATTGAATTTCAGTAACTTGCTTTTGAAAAGTGTAGCAATCTCTTCCATGATTCTCGGATTTAAAGCAATCCTTTTTCTATTCCATAATCAAAAATACAGAAAAATAAGATACTATCTTTTCACTGATGGTTCTTCTAAAATTTATATGGTAATTTCTTTCCTGTGATAACGTATAAATGCAACTTGATGTTCAGGTCACAAGCAAGTGTGCATAATGTCGCATTTATAGCAAAGCAGTGCAAGGTGGGCTGATAGAGATTTGTGTAATATTGGCCCTTTCCTTTCTATTGACTCTGATGGATACAATTTGAATATGTTTTCAACATATGTTTTCAGAGACAGATCTGCTCTGCAATTGAACAATCGCAAACTTGAAAGAAAGGCCAAGGAGCTTATGCTGCAAGTAGATGATGAACGCCTCCACCTGACAGACCAAAATGATCAGGTATTTGGTACAAAGTTGGTGAATGTCTATTTTGTAGTTGCAACCCTGACTCATAGAGGTGTACAGCACAAAAAAGATTCTTCAGCCCATCCAGTCTGTGCCAGTCAAAAACAACAACCGAACTATTCAAATCACAGCACTTGGCTCATAGCCTTGGCATCACAAGTACACATCAAAATACTTCTTAAATGTTATGAAGGTTTCTGCTTTTACGACCCTCACAGGCATTGAATTTCAGATTCCCACCATACTCTGAGTGAAAAATGTTTACCTCTAATCCCCTCTAAACCTCCTGCTTCTTACCTTAAAACTATGCCCACCCATCCCCCCAGTTATTGATTCTTCGACCAAGGGAAAAAGTTCCTTCCTGTATACCCTGTCTATGCCACGCATAACATTATGCATCTCAGTATGTCTCCCCTGCTCCAAAGGAAACAATGCCAGTTTGTCTAATCTCTCTTCATAACTGAAACTCTCCAGACCAGGCAACATCCTGATAAATCTCCTCTGCACCCTATCCAGTGAAATCACATCCCTCCTTTAATATGGTTTCCAGAACTACGCACAATTCTTTAGTTGTGATCTAGTGAACATTTTGTACAATGTACCCTAGGTAAGGATAACAGGTTGGGAGAACAGTCGCACTATAACTGCTTATTGCCAACGCAAAAACATGTGCCACGTCCAGGTTGAAACCTCCAATGGAAAGTACAATGAGAATTAATATTTGTTTCTAATGTATTCTGACTAGAGACAAGGAGTTGCTAAACAGTGTCATCTTGGATTCAGTTGTAAAACATCAAAATTTCTTCATTTCAGATGCAATAAAATGAAAGGGGTAGTTATAATTTAAATAGAGTAGCTCCAAATTAGTTTAAATGCCAATACTTTAAATTGTTAAAATGACTGAAGGTTGCTTACTCTAGTTTTTTTTTTAAAAGAAGGACTTCTAAATCAAGTTCAGCTTCTTTAAAATGTCTCCCTGTTGGTTTGTATGATATGTGCTTGTGGTAATCAATCTTTCCTTATTTCCTAGTTGAACCTACGGATGAAGGCTCTCAAAAGGCAAGTAGATGAAGCAGAGGAAGAAATAGACCGCTTGGAAAATGCAAAGAGAAAGCTGCAGAGAGAGCTGGAGGAACAAATGGAAGCAAATGAAGAACTTCAAGGACAAATGAATACTTTAAAAAAAGACCTCAGGTAAGTTTGTTTCTGCTTCAAAAATCTAAGTGAGATGCATCTCGCAGAGTAGGGACTTGACATTAACTAGCCCCTACAGGCATGATGCCAACTTCATATGTGGTAATTCTAAAAATTATTGCATCTGGGAGCCACTCCCAGTACCATTCATAAGTTCCACACGTTAACAGGGAGCCCATACCATTCTCAGTTGCAATATTTAAAGCTAGATTGCATTATTAAAACTGCCCTTCAGCTTTGAAGGGGATGGTGCTTTGTGTATAGGGAACGTGCTAGCAGTCAATGCGCATCCAAATCTGATTTGAGAAAGAAAGAAGACTGTCTGGCTATGGGAGACAAAAAGCACTCCGGTTTTTTGATAGTCTCAATGAGGATTTGGTGGAAGAGTTAGAAAGGAGGACAGAATCAGTATCTTCGGACAGGCAATGAGAAAACAGTGGAAACAGATAGTCACAAAGGTTACAGCCAGGAATGTAGTCCTGTGGACCTGGGTGTACAGTGTTAGAAGAGGTTTAATGACGTGACACATTTCTCCTCTTCTTCTCACTACAACCGTAGCCCCTTGCCCTTTATTCATTTTAGACACCAAAGCACAGCTACCTGGCTAAGCAATGGTGGAAGACAGTTAAGGAGAAGACACACAGTCACTCGATTTCACATTTGCAGTCACGAAATCCAGTGCTGACACTACACATAATTTAGAGGGTAATGTAAGAGGCAGGATCAACATTTGGAGAGACACTGGGACAGGACAAGGGGATAAAAAGAGTGACGATACCAGTGGATCAGGAGGGTAAGGTTGAACATTCATTCTGCTCTCCACATCTCAGATGACAACTTTCACGGATTACACTAAATAATATGTCAGCCAATATCAGTCTCTGGTCCTGATTTCTAAACATCATATGCACAAGTTTTCATATTGAAATAGCTAATTAATGTGGTAATAAACAATTGTCACATTGCTGAATTCATTGTTACAAGTGATGGGCTTCAGAATGGGACTAGATGGGTAGCTCTTTCAGGAGCCAGTACGGACATGTTGGGCCTCCTTCTGTAGTGTAAGATTGTATAATTCCAAAATGAATACGTACAGTGAAGATGTTTTACCTGAATTTTGAGAAACTTTGCTGAAAAAAAACATAATTCCAAAGAGTATCACTGATTTTCAAATAATTGAAATCTCCCTCTCTAGACATTTTACAAATGTTTACATGGAATCTGCAATGTCTGTGCTGTAACATTTTTACCAGTGGCACTGCCTGTGAATGGAGATTTTGAATTCTGTGAAAAATAGTGTTAATAGGAGAGAAATAGGCACAGCCAGAGGGAGGATTTTCTATTCTTAATCTGCAATCAGCTTCTGTATCTACCTGTTTTTAATATTGGAACACAATGGACTGAAGTGTCTGTTTCTATTCTGTATAACTCCATGATGCTAATAAATGATACTTTAAGAAGCTATTGTGAGATAATGCTCAGTTCCACATGAGAACATGTTGGAACATCTTCTTTAATGTCCCATGGTCAGTGGATCTCAAAATGCCATGGCTACTGTATTTTGTCATACAGTATTTAATCTTTCTTCAATGTAACCTGCTAAACCCTGTTTCTGCACCTCTGTATCTCTATCTGTTTGTCTGCATATTTCTTGTCTTCAGCTGATCACCATTAAATTTTGTGGGGAAAGTGACACCAAGGGAGGCTCGAGAGAAGGACCCGTCCTTTTAATGATTACATATATAACCACAGTGCTAATCGTCTGATAAACTTCTGATGATGCTCTTAGAAATGAATGTTTTCTATGCTGTAATAAAGCAGTAATACTTCATGAATAGCAACTGAAATGATCTCGCGTATGTTACAGACGCAAGAATTCATCAGCGAAGGTTTCATCCTCCGTTCTAAATGATTTTGACAATGATTACAGTACAGATGAAGAAAGTCTCTACGACACGGGATTTAAATTGTTGAAGGATGATAATGTGTAGATGCAAACCCAAACTGATGGCTAACCATTAGATAAAGGGAAGCAGCAATGCAGTGGCATAATTCACTCTACGAGGTACCATATTCTGCCCTAGGCTTTTGTTTTTAATTCCTTCGTTGCACTGATGCTGCTTGATATGTGAAATGTTTTAAGTGCCTGTCACTGCTGCCTCATGCCATGCTGTTTTCTTTCTGCTTTTGGAATGCTTTGGACTGGTAAAGGAAGGTCATATTTTACTGCTCATTCCAGCTGAAAGGAATTTATAAACATGTCAACTTAAAGCAAAAAGACATAACGATCAGCAGTCAATTGTTAAAATGTGTACAGGTTATAAATAAATATAAATGTCAAATTATTTTCCTTTATTATTTAAAATACTAAAGTGCCAACAATACTTTGGCCAATATCTTCTATGGCTGTTATATTAACCTTGTACTTTATCAGCTTTTTTTTTCTTTTCTGCTTTGACCCTAACGACACTGGCTTTAACTGGAGTATAATTCCCCAGCACTGGAAATGATTGCACTGAAGATGCATTTTCCCTTGTGGCTCCAGCCCTGTGAATGTCCCAGTGAACCATAGACAAGATTAATACCACAGGCTGGCATCAACAAAGCTGCATTTCTGTTCAGTGCCATTGCAGCAAGAGCAGGAATTTCTCCCTGCCCTGCATTCGAACCCAAAGTAACTAAGGTCCAATTATCGTACCCGTGGTCTAACTGAGCTGAGACCTGCTAACTCAGCTCAGCCTGTGCAGTGAAGTGACACATGTGCCAGTCTCTGCAGCTCAGCTGTTCACTGCCACAATTGGCTGGGTCACTGGGAGTACTTGGTCTCATCATTTGATGTAAGCAGTCTGTATTAGCTCCTTCACTTGTCATGACCACCGTACAACTAAACCGCAGAAAAGAACACATCCTGGGTTCACTTCCCCCTTTCTGGGTGCTGTCATTTAGCATCCGACAGGGGTAGCAGTAGGTGTGCCAACAGCTAACCTCAGTGCCCTTGGGATGGAAAGGGATTTGAAAAAATATTGGCTTCCCATGGTTGTTTAGTGACCCCTGCTGGAAAATGTGTGTGTTTTCAGACAACGGCAGGGAAATCATTGATATTTGTGGAGAAGGAGAAATCTTTAACCTCGAAGGATTGTTGGAGGTGTATTAAAAATGGGAATCCACCTCTACATCTTGAACAGAGTTGGCTTAGTGTCAGGTTTTCTATTTTTTACACTTCTAAAATTAAAATCAGCCCTGTAGAGCTATGTTGGTCATTGAAGTATTTTAATGAGGCTGTGTGTCTTGGAACTTGGGGGTCACTTTAGCAAAAAACCATGGGTTTTAGGTTGGGTGAGAGATTTAAATGTCAATAACTGGAAATTGAAATGTAACTTGCCTTAATCAGCCCTATGTCCAGTGAGACAAGGAGCAGGTGACAAATCCCTTTTCGGGAGGACGATCCATCTTTGAAACCTTTTTAAGTAGGCTGTATGATTCAGTTTTTGCACAGTTTCTATTTTTAAACTATTTGGCAGCTTCTGAGGCTCTGCAAAACTCGAGAATTAAAAGGAACCGAGAAGTGTTGGGTCCATCGGGAAAAAGCCTTTTACAGTGTTGCCCGTGAGCCAGAAGGAGCACAAATGTTTCCTGGGGCCACTATCAGACATTGAAATATTGCTCCAATATCCACAGTATCCCCTCCCAATCCAATATGCAGCCACATCAGTAATCCTTTGCTACAATCACTGACTCCAAGCTATTCCTAACTCCCTACCTCTCCCTGACACTTCCCAGTTCTTTAACCTACCCTCTCCCATTTCATGACCTTTACCACTAATGATTGTGAAAACTAACTGATCCTACACTGCCTTTTCTGGAAAATATTCTGTCAGTCAAACTGGTTTCCACATATAGATTTTGTTTTTACAAAACAAAATGTCTGTCATAGAATTAAAACACACTGTTTGGGGAAACCTGTCCTTGCAGGCTCCAGTCTATAACTACATTCCAACTGCCCCCCACCAGCTCCACTGAATGTGGGCCCCTTCTGCTCCAGCCTGAACACTGGTCAGTTGGGAAATCCAGCAGCTGAAGGGAGGCCAAGCCTACTAGATGGAACAGTTAAGCGCTTTTCCTGTATTGCTTGTGGCTGCAATGTAGTCACCCACCTGTGGCTCACCAAGTTGAGCGTCCATTCTTTGTTATTCTAAACATCACCCCTGCCTCCCACTTGATTATCTGAACCCTGGCTGTGGCTATGTGCATAAACATACCCTCCAACATACTTTCAATATGGCTTGTTGTGAAAAACCTGAAATGAAGTCTTATGGTTAAATTCAGAAGACCTACAGGAAATCCATATTTCTGGATTTCTCAGCCGTTAAATCTCCCCAACCACTTGCCTCCAACCTCTCCATTATAATTGGAGCCTTACCTAATGGGTTCACACATAAAGAATGACCAAAAGGAGCCTGTATTATGGGACAGTATGCCAGCATGTTCTCTGCCTTCAGGAGTTCTGTATCTTAAGGATTATACACTTGCCATTCAAAATTAGAAGGAAGTTACAAACATTTTTAACAGTGGTCCTGCCAGTGCAGGGCCTATGAATTATGTCTCTATTTTTACAACAGTAGATCTGCCATTGAGTATTTCCTATTTTTGATATAACCTAAATGTATTGAAATATCAGTGTTTGAATGTTTTTGAAAATATGACCTGGAGCTGATGCTCTGTTTTAAGTCTTTTCTTCATTATGTATGTTACTCAAAAATAGTTCCACTTTCTGTGTTTGTTTCAGTATGTATGTTATCCAGGAATATGTTGATGTTTGTCATCTAAGTCTGAATAGCAATGATTTTTTAATCTATATATTGTATAAAAATATTTTGCTAAGCTGATTTTTTTTATTATTCAAGTATTGTATAATGGAAGCTAAAATAAATGCACACTGTTGAGTGACAATCAATAAAGTGCAATACATCTGCAAACACTTAGTGTGATTTATTCTACCAGGAAGATATGGAGGGGTGAATAGTCATATTTGGGTGTCATAAACTACACCACTGCTGAACATCTTACTCTACAAATGTATTTGCTACTTTCTGTTCAGGACACTAGAACTGTACAATATTTAACTGTCTTTAAGCACTGAAGCTACCTCCATGCTTACAAAACTGTAAGATGCCAATTACTACAAATAAAAGTTTTTAAACCATATTTGTTCATTGTTATGATATTAATTGTGAAGATAAAGCTCAGATCTTTCTTGAATGATGAACATTGAACATTATCTCTCTTGAAAGCAGTTTTCTGCTGTGTCTAATGGGGCAACTTCTAAAATATTTTGTGTAGATTACATCTAAAATCAGTTTCCATCTTTCATCTTATAATGTTATATTTGGTTTCATATTAACATGCAACATGTAAGTTTTTAGTCCCAAAATGAAGTGTTGGCAGATACGGCAAATTGTGAACAAGTTGTTAGAATGGATGGTGATTCTTTTGATGTACATCTTTGCTCTTGAACTTATTGCATAGCTGGAATTGTTTTGTTCCGGTGTCAGGGTTAAAAATTCTTCACAAAAGATTTTTATTTGAAGAAACATTTTAAGTAAATTGATCACTAACATTCATCAACTTGGCACCCTTAGAGGTTTGGATAAAGTGAGGAACAAACACTGAGAATGCTGGAGAAACTCAGCAGGTCTGGCAGCATCTGTGAAGAGAGTAACAGAGTTAACATTTTAAGTACAGTATAACTCTTCAGAAAATGAGACCCATTCTAAGTATTAAAGTATTCCATAATCGGACATGATGAATACCTATTATTTATTAAAAATGCATCCTTCAAATATAAACTTGATGATCTTGGTTATGCTATTGAAATTTGACTATCTTGAGGGTTTTTTGAAATATGGATTATAAGATAGCTTCCAAGTAGGAAGTCACAGGTATTATTATTTCTGTTGACTAACTACTGGTGTCAAACATGATCAAATTCGGTTCTGTGCCATTACTATTATCCAGCATAAAGTATGCAGCTGTGATTGTATTCCTTTGCAATTTTGAAAATATGTTTATATTCGGACATAAGACCATAACATCTTGTAATTGCTTCACAATGTCATACCTGTAGGAGGATTTATCATCTCACTGGGTTGTTTCTGTAAGCACTTGTTATCAGGAGAAAACTTTTATAAGAGCCATGGTTTGGCCCGATTAGAGAAATATTAAGTGTCTTTCTCATATAGAGAATGATTGTGACTTTGACTTGTGCTAATAAGGTGATTTAATGATCCAGTGAAATAATCAGTGCATCGGTTGCTTTTTCCATCTTCATTGTAAGATCACAGTTTGGTTGTGCATTTTTGAAAGACTGACAATGTTTGTGGATAAAACACGTGAAATATTATCTTGCTTTTTGTCTTTTCTACGTGAACTAGCTTCTGCTGCCTTCACTGCTGTTCCAGTAGAAGGCAGCAGAGTCAAGGTTTGGTGCATTAAGATAACCACCTTGTCTTAATGAATAGTCAATTTTGAAAATCAAGCACGGTAACATTATTTATTGTTATATTCAGTATTTTTGTTTCTTTATGCCTTGTCTCAGGACCACCGTCCTATTATTACACCATTCATACCGGTTCCAACATATCATTACATCTCCAGCCATAGTTTTACCCACCTTTGCTGCTCCTAATTTACATGCTTCCCCTTCTTGTCATTAATAAGCATTGGACTAACTTTTCTTATTATACAAATGCTCTTAACAGTCAGTCTGCTAGTGTTTCTGACTCTTCAATTACATAGTATTCTCTTCTGCCTTTTAAGCCCCATAACTAATCTAACAGCAAGACCACCTAGACCACTTCCTGCTTCATAACTTTACAGTGTATTCCTCTTGGTAGCTTTACTTTATCAGGCTCACACCATGTTTTTGATCTGTTGACTCGAGTCTTGACTGTGTTAATTATCAACAGTCTTTTGGGGGAAGAGAATTCCAGGTTTTTTCCATCTTTTGTATGAAAAAAGTGCTTTGTGATTTCTCTCTTAAACTGCCTTGCTGTTATTTTAGGCTTCCTCCCATTTGTGCCTGCAATGATTATAATGAGGTCAGCCAGGTGGACCTCATGGAATATAAATTTCCCAATTGGGACTCTTAATCTGGTCCAATCAGGGAGCCCTGGCTGACAGATATAAACAGGAGTGTCACACATCCTGTTTACTCTGAGAGCTGGCTCTGAGGGAGTCAAGGAATGTTCCAAATGTAAATAAAGTGTGACTTGGTGACAGGATACTGGCCAATTGTGGACTTATTTCAGTGGCAACGAGAGAAAGGCACACTCCTGAAGAAATTCGCTTGGAACAGCCGTCCTTGAGTTGGGATTAGCATTTCTGGCATCTCGACATTATTTGGGAAGCAAGGTTCTGCTAAGGGAGAGAAACAGTTTACTTAGGGATGAATTTGGTGTAGGAATCACAGGAATGGCTCTGCATGGGTAAGAGGCATAGCCAATATGAGGTCAGGTCCAGTGACATATAAAGTTTCAGGTGGGTGCAACAGTCCCAAACAAGTGCAAAGACTATATGAAAGCTGCAAACTCACAAACAATGCAGGAGCAAAACATGCCGGGCTCCTCAACAGCCTTTCTGACTATTCTGGAACCCATGGGTTCTCCCTCTCCTGTAAGCATTGAAGATACCTCAGAATCTGAGATGGACACTGCAGATGTTGCTGCCACCTGAAAAAGAGAATTAATTTCTTCCAGGATGCTCTGGGCACAAGAGGTGAGCTACTGTGCATTGCACTGCCAACTGTAGCAGAGGCAAAGTTGGAGGTACTAAAATGCCCAGGAGGAGTCTCAAATAAAAGAACTTTCCAGTGTCCTTGGACTCAAAGCGGGAGGGGTGTAGTGATTGTAATAAGGTCAGCCAGGTGGACCTCAGAATGTGAGTTCCCTGATTGGGGCTGTTATCTGGTCCAATCTGAGAGCCCTGCTAGACATATAAACAGGAGTGTTCCCTTGGGGATTTGGGTTGGGGGATGCTGCATGCAGCAGTCCCTTGCAACTGCAGATTGTGGTGGTTCACGGACTCCCAGCCCAACTGTTTGTTTTGCGGCGCTGTCGAGTCTGTGGGCCATGTGTATATTGGTTGTGGGCGTCTGCACTCCCCTTTCAGCTACCTGAAGGACCTCCTGCTATGCTTTTGGTTGCACTTCAGCCCCAGTAGGAAAAAATATATAAATAGCAGTGTCAGAGGTTCTGTTCACTCTGAGAGCTGGAGCAGTATCCAGGACTTTGCAGGTGTAACTAAAGGGTGACTGGCTGACAGGATACTGACCTTTGTGGAATTATTTCAGTGCTCCTCACCTTTATTGTTTCATTGGATAATGTTATTGAAGGTATTGGTTCTGAAACAGTTCGTTGTGAAACTACATTAAGCTCCACCCAATCAATGATGTCATATATCTTTTGGATGGAGCAGAAGCAGTCTGGTTCAAGGTCCTGATGGAGTCAGATGTGTCATTTCTCCCTCTTGATAGGAATAATTATGAAGACTAACTAGGCAATGTAACTTGGACCTATTACTATTGTTCAATAAATTGCATATTGTTATTAAGAGCCATCTGTGGTTCATCCTGGAATAGTGCTAATTAGATAGGCCTTAGACTTGGTACAAAAAGGAGAATTAGTGACAGTGAGCTATCCTAACCACAAGCCACCAGTTCTTGGTACCTCAATATACACCATAATATTTCAAAGAGGAGGAAGTCTTCCCAACACAAAAATAATCAGTTGATTTCTCACCTTATTGTTGTTTGTGGGATCTTGCTAGTCATTACATTTGTTCTACTAATGACGTGGATTATAATTTCCAAGTCAGTCATGTGAAGTATGTTTCCCAGAGACCTAAAGTGTGTAAATGTTGCATCCAGTCTGACTGCATACAATTTCAAAGTCTATTATAACGACAATTTGGAAAAGAGTGGATTGCAGCAACATATAAATAGACAACTCTGTACTAAAGTGCAAAGGTTATTGAGCGAAGCTTTTAATAATGAAACGGTTTACTTTTACAAGTTATCGACACATTTTGGACTCGGAGGAGATTCCAGTCCAGGTCCTCAATACTAAGTTCTGGTTTGGAATGGCTGGATATTAGCTTGTTTTAATGATCACCTTTCAAATTAGGTGAACCTAAACCAGAACCTGTTTCCTCCCTGTTTTTTTGCATAATTTCTAAATTTAAATGAAAATAACAACACAAACTGTACACAATCCCTCTCTGAGTCCCAGGACATAGGCTGGTTCTTTTTTTTTGTAGCTCTTCTTGAGGTGTTTAGCACTTGGTCAAGTTCCTCCAACTCCGCATCTGCTACAGATGGCATATAGCACACGGTAGCATGCCTCTTGTGCCGGGAGTGTCTGGGTAGAAATTCATTCTCTTCTTTGGGCAGCAAAGGTGTTGTGGTGGTGACAATTCACTTAGCTAACACCAGCACCAATGAACCATTGGTACTTCGTTCAAGACTATGAAAGTGAATAAGTGTATCCTACAACTCAGATTTTCACTGGAGAAAGCACTGCTGCTCCCCATTTACAAAATGGACTTCTAAGAATTGCCATTATGAAACACAGCCTTCCAGCATCGACCCTGCCAAGAATTTTTGTATGTTTAATTGATATGTGTTTTTATTCTTCTAAACTCGATACTTAACACAGGTCCATTCTACTCAAACTCCTTCCTCCTAGGAATCAACCAAGTGAACATCAGTTGCATCTGTAAGGCACATCTATCTTCCTTTAGGTAAGGGACCAGAACTGTATGCAGTATATCTGGTATGGTCTCATCAATGCCCTGTAGAATTGCAGCAGGACTTCTTCACTTGTATATTCCAACTCTGCCAAGCATACCCTTTTGTGCTCCTCTGCATGTGGTTAGTCATAGAGCTGTACAGCATAGAAGCAGACCCTTCAGTCCAACTCATCCAGATAGCCTAAATTAATCTAGGCCCATTTGCCAACAGTTGGGCTCATATTCCTCCAAACCCTTTCTATTCATATACTCATCCAGATGCATTTTAAATGTTGTTATTGTACCTGCCTTCACCACATCCTCTAGCGGCTCATTCCATACATGCACCACCTTTATATAGAAGGATATACAAATACCAACTTTACTAGTTTTCCACTTTTCTGGTTTTTTTTTCTATTCCTACCAAAGTGGATAATTCCACATTGCCCCATATTATATTTCCATTTGTCACCTTCTTGCTCACTCATTTGTCCAATATCTCTTCACAACCACTTTGTATCCAACGCACAACCACACGTATCATCAGGAAACTTGTAAACCTTAAATTGGTTCCTTGATCTGAGTCATTGTGATAAATTGTAATTGAGGCCACAGCACTGATCTTTGCAGCACCTAACTAGCTATAAACTGCCACCCAAAAGTGACCATTTATTTTTATTATTTCTGTATGTTAACCAGTCATCAACCAATACTATTTTATGACGTTCAATTCCATGAGCCCTTATCTTATGTACTGACGTGCAGCTCTCGAGCAACCAGGGTCGGGCAATAAATCTTGGCCCAGCCTGTGACAGCCACATCACATGAATAAAAAATGCGTGCCATCTCATCAAATGATTTTTGAAGTTCCAAATTAACTGCTTCCTCTGAACCTGTTTATCTGTCTCCATAGTTACACTCAAGACATTAAGAGATTGGTGAGGTGCAATTTTTCCTTCATAAAGCCATAAAAGCACATTGATACTGCTAAATTGAATTATGAATT